ATGAATTCGGTCGCGACTGGGCATTGGACAGGATGCATGTGTCATGACAATCAACGACGTGGCATTACCGTGACAGGCCATTGATCAGTGTGATGTGAGTGAGCGTCGGGCGCAGTCAAATCACAGCCGTGATTAATGATCAGTTCGTGTTTAGCTTTGGGTGCAGGGGACATCACTCTGTTTATCTTAAAAAATTATAATAATGAGTAATATTTTAGCTGTTGGTGCTGGTTTCGTCGATTTTTTCCTCTCATATAGAAAAATTATAATAATGAAGGGATAGTTTGAAAAGTTCTGTTCTGATGTGGTCCATCTTTTATATAGTAAAATCTTCAAATATGAGCGATATTGTAGCTGTTAGCGCTAGCGTCGTCACTCTTTTCATTCCGTATGTTCAGAAATCATTACAAAGTCAGCTTAAATCAGTATATGCTAACGCGTTCGCTCTTTTCCTGTCGTATGTACGGAAATCATTACAGAGTCAGTTTAAATCAGTGGGTACTAACACGCTCACTTTTTTTCCTTCGTAGGATGAATAAATGATTGTTGAACGAGCGAGTATAGAAGCTTTTCAAACGACCTCCAAAATGTCTAGAATCAGCTTCGGTAGATACAAGGAAATGTTCCGCACTAGCATAGGATTTAGAATTTTTTCGATCATTTTATTCAATCTGCATCTCGTATTTCTAAGTATTTTTTAGCGTGATGTAAAAAAAACTTTACTCTGAAATTGGTGCTTTTCAGTCGCATTGCGAGCCATCAAAGACTAATACTTTACTGCACAAAATCGAACTTTCTGAACAGCCATGATTACTCCTATATTATTGGCTGCAAGAAATTTCCATCTGGTAAACTAATATTTTTTTTATAAATACGTATTCCAGACAATCGAAGTGAATAAAAAAATTATGGGTTTATAATACAGGTAATTAATAATTACTTCAATATGAATTTATGAACTAATTTACATAAGTAGCTGTCTATACAGCTGATATACAGATTCATCATCATAATTTGAAGTTACGAAGCTTATTTTAAAAAAAAAATTACGATTGCAAGTTCTGAGTAGAACTGCATTCGCATCCACGCAAGCTGTATTAACCGCAAGGCTTGATGTATAGCGTGCTGAATAGTTTGACAGTAAGTGCATCCACGCATGCACTCCTTTCACAAACATTATTTTTTGTCACGATAATTTAGGGTAATTACATCGCAAATATTTATGGGAGCTCGATTTTTTAAAATGCATATAAGTTCATTACTTTGAAATTTTGAAGAATCTATTAACAACCTTTTATAGACGAGTAACTTATTCCTGAAAATGTTCGTATTGCATTACGTTGCCGTAGAACACTGCCGTCAGTAGGTTACGAGTAAAAACTTTGGCTTTCACCAATTTTAATTCCTAGCTATTCGTACCACGTGCCCAAAACTTGTTTCCTCTCTACAGTGTGTTTAAATTTTTTTCTTATCGTCCAAGCACAACACGTTGCCGAGCTTATAAAACGTGCTCAGTCTTCGTCAATCACTTGACACTAAAAGGCTTGGATTGGCTGCACATTGCATCGTTCTAGCACAAATAATATCGTTCACCAATACTTTTTACTAACGCATGTGCACCATTTAATCAATCTATCTTTTACTGCACTTATTTCGTCCCTGGGCCTTTCGTCCGCAGTAGCATCGCGTTTATTCATTTTCCAACCACAATCCTGTAATACCATTCAATAATTATAGATATAGACAATCTATTTCTGAGTTTATTGCGACTCTTCAAAACTTGTTATAAAACTGGTTATATTGTGACTCAAAACTTGTTATATTTAATTTTTAAAACTTGTTAATATTGCGAAGTTGCTCCATTAGTTCACCTCGTGGCAGCGCATCTCTCCGCCCGCGGGGTCAACTGGGACTATAAAGTGGCAAGTTTTCACCTCACCACCCAAGGCAATCGTCCTCACTTTCTTCAGAGTTAATTCATTTTTAGCGCATTTTCTCATTTATAGAAAAAATGCGCTATTGTTCTCGTCATGTCCGTCTGTCTGTCTGTCTGTCCGTCCGTGACCTCACGTTTTCGTCGACGAGAAAATGCGCTATTTCTGTCACTCACTGCAGTGAGTACTGAGTTATATTTTTTGTATCATAGCTGAAGTTCACATATATATCATAGCTGGCGTCAAGAAAGTATGTCTGGAAATTTAATCGCTTTTATTTAGGAAATACTTTTACGACACTGCAGAGAGCTCATTTATAAAGTTATTTACTAAACAAATTTATTCATGAAATCAATAGTAATTGTTATTATAGTTATTGTAGTAATACAATTAGTAATTATAAGTGCATTTAACTGGAGTAGAACAAGAACAAAACATTTTTATAATCGATTGGATGCCACAAGAAAATGTTTTTAATGTTTTGCGGTTCCAGAACTAATTTCAGCAAATACAGCATCATATCTAATAATTTTATAGTTGAAATTATGAAAGCTATGTTAACACAAGCGATGTAGATCACCAGAATCAATCAAGATTTAATTTAAACATATAAGTGCTCACGTCCCGAAAAATGTTAAACTGACATAGATTAGTAAGTAAAAACTTTTATATAACGATATAAACTCCAAAATACGATGCAAGGAAACATAAAATAAATACATCAAATCTCTTCATTAGGCATCGTTAAATTACACTTTTCCTCCCTTTGTTCGAAGTTATTAATCAGGTCATCAAATTTTTCCGCATATTCAGAATGAAAGGATTTAAAAAATTATATGAAGGGTACATGTGAATTTACAATGTATTGCTAAATCTCATAATGACTTTTTTCGAAGAGAGTTCTAAACATTTAAATAAATAAGACAATTAACTGGAACGCTAAAAATAGTCATTACTGGAATTTAGGAATCACGCAAGCGCTTCCTAAATTTTTTTGGACTTAATGCTAGTCTTTTTCGAGGTGGAAATACCGGTAATGGTTATTGGGGACCATTACCGGGGCAATACAATCAGCAAACATTAGGTGATAATGACACTCCATTATTTCCAAACCTCGCATTCAGCCTCAAGAAAAATAGGAAAATGACGCCAGTTTATTGCGGTGCGAATTTTGCTTCGCTGCTGAAGGAACTTCGCTGTTTTGCCAGTTAACTAGACCAGGGTTTTCCTAGATGCTAGAATTTCAAACCTATTGGAAAGTAATTTTTCATTAGTTTTTTTATCGTGATTAGATAACAATTTTATATCTATTACATAATTTATACTCCCGAGGTCGAGTAATTTGAGGATGTAATTTGAAATACTATCGAATTTTCAACTGATTACCAAATTCAAGCTCATGCCGCAGCGTGACTCTACCTGACCTATGTATAAACCAGTTAGCCCTCACCTACATCAATTTTACTGATCTGGATAAATGTCTAGTGAAAAAAAAATTAAATCAATGCAGCAGTTTTAATTCGAAAAAAATTGTCAGAAATCATTTCATGCCATGTTCACTTAACGAACTGAAAACAAATATTTTTTATTTATCAACAATAGTTCTAAGCAACTAAGGGTTTATTGACATAGTGGGATATAGGACCGCGTTGACGCTATAAATTCCATACAAAAATGTTCAACATAGTATGCATATCAGGATTACCCACCTCGGATATCGGATAATATATCATGAAATTGCCACATGTGAGGTGAACTATTATTGGAATAATATCACTGATGTGCTTAGAAAATTTAACATAAATTTTATTGCGACTTCTATTTCATAATTTCCATATATTTGTTATACGCTACAAAGGTTTAGGCTGAGTAGATAATAATATAATAAAAAGCTCCATAAGAGGAAAAGTGTTGAGTTTTCTTCATTTGGCTGAGCCTGGCGCTTGTCATACAGGCATGGCAAGGCAATATTCCTGAGCACGGCTCTCTTTTTTTTGGCCGCCAGATTTTGCCTCTAGGCTCATGGGATTCGGTGACACAATTTTTGCCTTCGCAAGGAACTTCCCTAAACGGACGGGGGCTACAGCCCTCATTTAATGGAGAAAGATGGCTGGGGGCTTTTGACTAAGTCAGCCGTATAGTTCCCGCCTTGACGTACATGAGCTGGAAATTGCAATCCTATACTCATAACGTTATTCCTACCTTGACTGAAGGATCATGAATGATTTATTTCTACTTTAGAACAGAGTCCTCCTTTCTTCATGTTATTCCTACATCATATTTATGCACCAAAGTTCTTAACGATAATCTCATCGAAAATGTGAAATTATTAGTGTCGAGTGGTGCTCACCACTGTATAAACGATGCATAACGTTTCGCTATCGAAGACTAATGCCTACTTGAGCACTGAACTTGAACATTGGGTCTCTGATATTTTGCATTTGGGTCTCTTAAATTGTCGCAATCGACGTTCGCATTTGAGTACTAATGCCTACTTGAGCACTGAACTTGAACATTGGGTCTCTGATATTTTGCATTTGGGTCTCTGATATTATCACAATCGGCGTTCGCATTTGAGTTCGATTTAATCTCAGACGAATATTTACAATGAAGAGGATGAGATCAAAAACAATTCTTCGAAATTTTCTTGAGCCACATTCGACAAATTTTTTCGTATGAAAAATATAATAATAATAGTCGTGTTCAGTTACAACTAATTCTAATGTGAGTAGAACCTCCGAATCGCGAGGCAGTCAAGAAATTTGAGTAAACATTTCAATGCCAGACCTCACTTAAAGGAATTTTTGAACCGACAAATATCAAAAATAAGCAGAGGGAACCGTAATGTCTGATAATCATTCTAATCGTTTAATGAAGATTTTGGTCCTTCTAATTAATTTTTCCCCTTCCATTTTTTTTAATTGTAGCAAAGGTTAAATGAATATTTTTTCATTAAGAAGGAAAAAAATTTATGATTTTTTTTATCAAAAATATTTATGGTGACATCGGTGAATAAATATTATTTCATTCACCTCATATTTCATATTTGACTCTCTTCCTCCACAGGTGCTGAAGACTCGCTCAGCGCTGCTGCTGGCTATGCTCCTGTGCCCACACGTAGGTGTGGTCATGGGAGCCCCAATTCCAGGACCTTTCCTGGGGTTGCTTGGAACCGTGGGTACAACGGCTGGGACAACCGTAGGTGTCACTGCTGGGGCCACAGCTGGGGCTGGAATACCAGCTATCACCACGACTGGAATAAAAGGTTTAGGCGTCCTACCGTACTTAGCTAAGCTAGGGACTGTCGGAAAACTCGGTTTAGGACTCAAGTTTCTCTCCAAATTCGGTGGAGTTGGTTTGGCTGGACTAGGAGGTCTTGCAGGACTGGCTGGTCTTGCTGGTTTGGCAGGCAAAAAGAGCGATGATGGCGGAGATTATGACTACGAAGATGAATATGAGTATCTGCCAGTATATACCTACGTCAGCTCCGAACACTACGGAGGTGGGTACGGTGGGTACGGAAATTCTGTGGCTAGAGGCGGTGATTCAAGCAGAGGGTATGATGATGGGTACTCTTCTCGTACCTACAGGAAATCTTCAAATCCAAACCAATACAGCACAGGAAATTATTTCGAAACACCTAGGAGCAATAGGGTGCCATCACGTTCAGTCTCGAAGTATCGCGGTGAAGGCACAGCATCACCACGAAAAGCCCCAAAAGTTCCAGCTCGGACCAAACGGCAAAACCGAGCTTCAGACTACTCCTCCAGATCCTCAGAGTCGCTGCACTCCGGCCGAAGAGTTCAGAAGAGGAGGCACACAGAATATCCTACTCTAGTGAACGAACCATTCGAAGCTAACTTTAACTCGGATAAGTTTGACACAGTCGACGAATTTCATTTCGGTCGCAGCTACATCGACACTTCTCCCGTTGAGATTATTTATGACTATTGAAGGACATACACAGCCAATGATGTTTGTTGTACAAAGAGGATGTCAGCTATTGAGGGTGTGGGACGAAATATGTGTGCAATTATGGATAAAATAAATGAATATTATCACTGACAAAAGATGTGCTCGTCGTAAATTAATATTGAATCATCCGGGTACATGAACAGAGATGGCCTATTTATTTTTAAATTTATATTTATTTACTCGTATAAGTAACCTATACTGAATATTGTTATATTTATGAGATATCAACTTGTGAGATATTAGCCACTAACTTTAAGGTAATCTTCGGTATACTTGGCGCAATTGTTCCTCAAAATAATAAAAGTATTAGTTAAGGATTATGTATTTTGTCACATTTGCTTGAAATTTCCATCGTCATCCACACTATAGCCAGTAATACGAGATGCTCGATAAGAATGTTTCTAAATCTAAAAAAGTAAATTCATATGTAGCCCAACCACTGTTTTAGGCGGAGAAAATGAATTTTTTGAAAATTTTATTGAAATTATCGGTTTCATTAAATCAAGTGTATATTAAATACCATGAAGTAGGAAACATCGTTGAGCGTTACAAATACGGCTATTTAGCATTATTGAGAATCAAATCTAGAATTAGAATGATAATGGTTGAAATGTTGACTTATTGAAATTGTTTTTTATGAGAGCGATTCTCATGTTGAACTTTTATTTCGAAATGTTGTCATCATTTGTTATTATTGTTGGTTATGAGTAATAGTTACATCCTGCTCTCAAGTCATGCAGGTTCATTACACTTTAGAAAATGAAGCGAATTGGTAATTAAAATCAAATAATATGAAATTTCCGGACCAAAGTATTTTTGCATCATATAATTAGTTTAATTTTGTTTGTAAAAATGTACTGTCATTCATTAAAAATTTCGCTATAAACTAATAATTCAACTTCCGACTGTGATGCGCACAAATGTTAATCTATCTAATTTGTCTCTGGTATACTTTGAATTTATCATCCAAACTTTCTATTATAATTATTCTAAATTCGAATGTTCGATTACATGTTATGTTGTTTCCGTAAATTTTAAACGGTTGTTTCCGTATAAAATTTATTGAAGTTTATACAAAGTTTATAAGTCCTTAAAATTAATGTAAGATGTTAGTGAACTTCATATTTCGTTTGATGGTATTGCTCTTTTTCAATACAATTGTGCCCAATTGCATTTATTTTGGTTCAAAAATAAATCTGAAAGCCTTTTTATGACTTTTTTAATAATTGGTCGCTCTCAGCATTTAGAAAAAATAATTGGGTGTAGAAAAACCCGTAAATGAATTCGCCTGCTTAAATAAGTAAATCAACTGTTCAACATTTTCCGAAGAAAATATTTTACACGTGAATGTGATGGAATTTTAACTGAAATCAAACGTAAGAATTCTAACGTAAAATTTCTGAACAACCATTCAAACAGGAATTTTGAAACTGTGTGCACTATAGTTACATGATGAAAAGATGCCGGCAAATATTGTCGAGAGTTTTCAATAAACCATAGTCAAAATGACGTTTAAATAATAAAAAAAATGACCAGTGGATATGTAATTTCTGCCTGTCATCAAGTTTTTAAAGTCTAAAACTAAAATATATGCAATATTTCATCCAAACCATTCAGTAGAATCAACTGTTTAAATATCATTTGAAATGTAAATTTCAAACGCAGTTCTACTTTCCTTAATTTCTGTCAAAAAAGAGACCCTGTAAAAGCCTCATGTAGCATAAAACGAGCAGCAAACCAATTTCATAGCGCGTTTGTCGGGAAAATGTTCAATTGTTTGACTTTATGCCTGAAATTTTTATCTCTATCTTCGCGTCGTGTTTACGAATATTCCCCCGGCTCTACATCCAATCAATAGTAATACACTCGTACAATATTAACAATATATATCCATAACAATTTTTATCAAAGTCGTAATTGTGTCAAATCCAAGACGTTCAGTTTTATTCACCAAAAAAATATGAACAAATTAGGGCTTATGATGGCCAATACTTTGGGCTTATGCCATGCCGATAATTACATTGATACCATATGCCGTGAATTTATTATCACAATTATATTCAAACACCGGCGCACAGTAAGTAATATGTTAATTTTCATGAAAAAAAAATTTTGGCAATAGTTTCTACCTTGCAAGTCGATAGTTTGAACATGCTAAAGCTTTTAGATTTTATTTTCATGTTATGGGGACCGGGTTTTAGTGACCCATCGAAAGGCATTCCATAAGCAGTGTTACGCTTCATAAAACTTTCATTTACGATCTTCAGTAAAACCTTGACCGTTCAGATCTCGGTTGAAAGCCACGAAAAATAAAAAAAAATCCTCATTGTGATTGGCTCTAAACCTGTCACGTTTTCTAGGCATTTGAGACCGCAGTTCGGGCCCAAAATTTACGTTGTTGTGGTCCCGCGCAGCAGGTTCACACGAAAATAAATAAAAAAGATAATTTTTTCGTCGAAAAAAAATATGGTAAAGTTTCAAGCCTTAGCGGATCTAAATATCGACAATTGCATTCAGCGTTTTCGTGTTCCCGCGCGAACCTTTTTCAATTTTCGTGGTCCCGCGCAGCAGGTTCACACGAAAATAAATAAAAAGTAAAATGGTAAATTGTTTCGCCGAAAAAAGTGTGCTAAAGTTTCAAGCCTTAGTGGATCAAAATATAGACAATTTCATGCAGTGTTTTGCATAAAAGTTTTCTATGAAAAGTGAATTCCTCAATAATATCCATATACCTAGAATTGGAGACAAGTGATATTTTGTGAATCATTTACAGTTATCTAACCATACGTTAACGGTAAATTATTGAGGTTCGATTTAATTGCACTTGGTATCCAATGATTTTAATAGCAGAACAGCAATGTATAGTCTATATTAAAATACGTATAAAATATATAGTGAATAATAAATAAAATACTATAAGGAATGAAAACTCAATACTGTTCACTTATGTTTTAGTAAATTCATTATTCACACAATTAATAAAGAATTTGGGCTTCATTCATCTCTCATTCAGTCGAACTATTATGTCTAATTAAAAAAGTAGTAATTTTAATTGAATAACGCAGATTTTGGTATATAATGAATGCACGAAATCTAGTATATTAATCCTCATAATACGTAAGGGCAGCTTTACAAAAGTAAAATGCATTGAAATTGATTATATTTTTGAATGATAAAAAAATTCATGGAATCATAAAATAATGGAACAATTAATAAATGGGTAAATGCAGGATAAAAACTGAAACCAATTTTTAACAACACAAAGACCAAAAAAACATAATGACGCGACATTTATCAGGACCAAATTACTTAACACCGAAAGGCGGAATTTCATAGCCAGCCTGAGCAATATGAACATAAACTTATGCATAATATATATAAACATGACCAAATGCAATAGATATATTAAAATGACTTAATGCATTATAGAGCATCATGAAAACTTGCGTAGAAGAAATGTACAATTATTCTGCAGGAACAAATTGTACATTTCTTCTGTACGCTGCAGGAACAAAATTTGCGACAAAAGACTGGAAGCAGAAACAAACAGTGACTGTAAATTCTGCCGCTTCAGAAACAGCATCTGCATTTGGATTAATGAGCAAAGCTCAAGTTGTGGCGTCGTCAGATTTTAGTGGCAGCGAGGCCAGTCTTTGTCCCAAGGTGTAGCGTCGTCAGATTTTAGTGGCAGCGAGGCCAGTCTTTGTCCCAAGGTGTAGCGTCGTGAGATATTAGTGGCAGCGATGCTAGTCTTTGTCCCAAGGTGTAGCGTCGTCAGATTTTAGTGGCAGCGAGGCCAGTCTTAATTTGTCCCAAGGTGTAGCGTCGTCAGATTTTAGTGGCAGCGAGGCCAGTCTTTGTCCCAAGGTGTAGCGTCGTGAGATATTAGATGCAGCGATGCCAGTCTTTGTCCCAAGGTGTGGCGTCGTGAGATATTAGTGGCAGGGATGCCAGTCTTTGTCGTTAAATACCAGGAGCTTTTCCCAGAGCAAAATATGAGGCTAGAGCTAGCCATTTTATGGCCCATATTGCCTTTACACACGCAACCCGAGCTTGCATTTTGTCTGAGTCATATATGCCTTGTCGACTTATTACATGAATTCAAATGATCTTATATGGATAAAATGCAATAAAATATATTTACTTATATAAAAAATTCAATGAATTGCAAAACTGTCAGAGGAACTACCGAGAAAAAGTTCAGTTATTTTTATTTGGATTTAATCTGAAGCCGAAAGAAGAAAAAGAAAGATGAATAGACTGAAAAATATGTTGATTAAATTTTTAGCCGAAAGAAATATCCATCCTTTCTTTATACCATATTTAAATAGACAGGACCTTCAAAATGCAGGCAAAGTCTCGTCGTACTCGTTTAAACTCTCGGCTTCCACCGAAGTTTGCGGGCCAGGCCAAATTGGCATGCTAATCCACTCTGGCTTCGGTCATAGTTCCTAACGCTATTTGCTATCCAATTAAATTAGGACTTCAATCAGGAAGTTTCGAGGTGCGAGAACGATTCTCCCGCAGTATATCCATACCGAGGATTTACAGGGTAGCAATTCTCAAGCAATATATCCATACCAAGGATTTACAGGATAGCAATTCTCCAGCAGTATATTCATACCAAGTATTTACAAGGCAGCGATTCTCCCGCAGTATATCCATACCGAGGATTTACAAGGCAGCAATTCTCCAGCAGTATATTCATACCGAGGACTTACAAGGCAGCGATTCTCCAGCAGTATATCCATACCGAGGATATACAAGGCAGTAATTCTGCAGCAGTATATTCATACCAAGGATTTACAAGGCAGCGATTCTCCAGCAGTATATCCATACCGAGGATTTACACGGCAGTAATTCTCCAGCAGTATATTCATACCAAGGATTTACAAGGCAGCGATTCTCCAGCAGTATATCCATACCGAGGATTTACACGGCAGCAATGCTCCCGTAGTATATCCATACCGCGGATTTACAAGGCAGCAAATCTCCCGCAGTATATTCATACCGAGGATTCGCAAGGAAGCGATTCTCCCTAGTAGATTTATAGCAATGTTTCATCAAGCAACGATTCTCCCGAATTTTATTTATCCAAGGATTTGCCAGAAAAAAACAAAGACTTTTCTATCCATATGCGTCATTCACAACGGTGACAACATTACTTCAGTAAAATATATCAAGTGTCAACAATAATTCCTAGAATAACTATGATTAAGCTAATTATCTTGGCAGGCATAACTTGTACTCAAGGTTCGTATAACACGGAAAATATTTAACATTTTTCATTTTTATTCAACGCGCACAGTCATGATAACGGCTACATGGTAAATATGATTTGTACATTTGTTGTAAGAGACGTACGTCAGAAATGAAGTGAATGCGCCTCAGTGTGCGATCAAATAATTTATGGGACAATCGATTTAAGCGCATTTAATTCGACTGAAAAAAGGAATCTAAGACGCAGAAATCAATAAAAAATTTATTACTCAATGTAGCAAAAATTTTCGAACTCCGCTGTCAAAATTCAAGTTTTAATTCAAGTGCGTTAAAAATTCGAACTCATAGTTGATGGGTGTTATTTCAACAGACTAAAATCTTTAAAATTAGTCGAAAATTTGCTGCAGCACCGAAAAAAGTAATAATGAATTCCATGCAGTGCATGGCATAAGTGCAAAATATGTCAAAAAATGTTCTATATACGAGAAAAAATACCCCGTTCGAATATGAATACGAACTAATTTCATTGAATTGATTAAAACTTCCCTTTTGCTAACTGTTTTTAATAAGCGCTTGTTTACTCGTTGACTGATAAAAATATACAAAACTAATAATAAAAATAAAATATTGATCCGTAAATTACTTACATTGTCATATTTAGTTTATTGTTATGCACTGACAATCCTACCAGTTATACGTAGGAGTTCTCCTTCCAACTTACAAACTTGGATAAGTTCATCCATTTTCAGAATGTTCATACTACTAGGCTACTCATAGGATTTTTTGTAAAATTTATACAATAATAAATATTTATATAAATAAATTTAATTTTTTATAAAATTTTCCACCATTGACTATAGTAATAATTTTCTAGGACACCTAATTCCGACCGAACTGACTAAAAACTCGGAAAGTGACTTGGCACTTTAACTATATGGCTGAGCTGGAAGCCGGATTATATGGACTTGAAAATAAATCGCGTTCCCT